TGTAGTGCGAGAAACAAGCAGGAGCAGACGGGAATATGTTCTTCTAATGGTTGGCTATTTCTTATTTGCAGCCTTCTGACTTGGAATCAGTATAAGGACGCAAGAATGGCTACTTGGTGCTAATAACCATGCTATGTAAACTTACGCACTGTGGTATCACAGATCATAGGCGGGTTAGACACTCTCCCTAAATAATTATCCACTCTTGATTATATGTATGCATACATGTACATATGTCGCACATTGATCTCAGCCCAATACACAAAAATTTACATGATAAAAACTTAAAATATGTAACGTCCATGCCACTCCCTTCCTCCCTTACTCTGAATTCTCTTCATTTTCCATTTCATTGAGTTTCTCCATTTCTCTAGCTATCCTTTCCTTCCTCTTAATAACCTACACACACGTACATGTACTCAACGTCACGTGTTACCATAACAACAAAGCTACACCCACCTCTGCCAGTTCCTCCTGTGCCTCAGTATACTCAGAATACAACTCATCGTGTTTAGCTTGAACCTATGGATTGTGGTCAAATTAATGTGGGTGTGGTTAATTAGCAATGGTGGGCGTGTCTCACTTCTGAGCATTTCTTCTCAAAGGAGGCAATTTGTTTCTGTAGTCCAGTCACAAGACGGAGGTGAGACTGAGCACCCAAGACCTTCTCTGATGGTTGGGCAGACTCTAAATCAGCACGCTAAGGGAAAAAGAGGGAGGGAGGGGAAAGAAAGAAGAGGAATTGGTAAAAAGAAAAAATTTAAAGTGAAAGGGGAAAGAGAGAGAGAGGGGGAGGGTAGGAAATTAACTATACATTACTATACATGTTGAGTAGGTGTACATGTACATTGGGAAAAGACAATAGACAAATAAGAGACAGAATAGACACAGAAAGTGTGACGTGAAAGAGAAAGAAGAATTACATGTACATACATTTGTACATGTACATTTACAGTAAGTTTTTTTTCACCATTATAACTAAGCTATTAATAAAAATACATATATACAGTATACATATACATGTTACATTCATGTGTCTCAGTTAAAAATAGACAGATAAATAATAGAACATAATATACAGTATTTTTGTGCATGTAGTTTACTAAACCCTCTCATCTGAGAGAGACATTTACAGTAAGTTTATTATGCATTAATGTACATGTATATACATACTTTAACTTCATATTCAGAGGCAACTTGCAATATTTCAGATGATTGCATACCAACAATAGAACCAACCATAGCACTGGAGAGGGTCTGGAGAGAAAGAAAAGGAGAGAGAGAGAGAGAGAGTAAGAAGAAAAGAAATAATATTTTCTGTACAACATAAGTACATGTACATACATGTATGTATCAGGAAAAAATATGAAGTTTGAAAATTCTCTCCTTTTCAATTTTGGCAAAATTTGGCTCAAGATCCTGTATGTATGTACATGTATTTATGTATGCTATTTAGAATGAAAATGTGCATAATTGGTACATTAGATGCTACATGTACATGTAAATATTAAATGGAGGTGTCTGCTACAAAAAGTCTCCATTAATAGATGTTCTACTCAAGTACATGTACATGCATATGCTTATGTACATCATCAGTTCCAGCTGATGCCATTCCCTTCATGAGTGCCTTTATCCTCTTCTCCTCCTCCTCTCTTTGTCTCTCACTCTTGTCCCCCTCGGCCTCTCCTCCACCAAGAGCACCTGCTACAGCTTTCCTCTTATCATCGTCAGACTAGGAATTAAAATAAGAGCGTGTAAAAATAAATAATAAATATTAATTCTTAAATTGTTTTTTCTTTTACTTTTTGTGTTGGAACTGATCTTCCAAAGCCATAACGTCTACAAAAGATATAATTATTATTTATTTCATGTACATCTATCAATTTATATAACAAGTGATAACTTTTAATTAATACATTTACATGTACCATATTTGCTTGATTAAATGCCTGGGCATTTAT